AATAAAAACCTAATGTAAGGATGAAAACTTGGCATATACAGTAGTAATTATCCTATGTGTATATTTGATTGTGAATATAAGTGTATAATGCAAAATTAAGGATATATTATAAAGTTTTGATTGTTTGACAGTACTATGTACTCTGTTGCTGATTTAGAAGTTATAAAAGCAAGGTTAGTTTCAAAATATTATTTTAAAAGTTAAAGAAAATATTTGGTATAAGTAAAGTATGTCATTATTTAAATTTATAAACCCATTGCATATGATATAATTAACATTACAGGTTTCCTGTTTCTAAGTATTTTTAAGTATTCTAAGTAGGATTATATTTATATAATAAATTATGTTATTGTTATTATATTTATCTAATTATCAATAGATTTAACAACAATGAACCATCAACAGATGGTATTGTAACAACAACAGTATTTCAAACTGTTAATGGAGATTTCAGCAAATGGAAGGAACAGAAAGATGTGGATGGTATGAATATTATAATTTCTTAAAATATGAATAATTTAATTTCCAAATTAATTGTCTAAATATTATACATTGCTGTTTTTATAATTTATTTTCATGACCTGTTTTTGAAAACAGAAAGAACAGAAGGATGTGGATGGTATGAATATTATACTCTCATAAATAATTTAATTGACAAATTTACTGTCTAAATATTATTATTTTTTATTTTTATAAATTATTTAATGTTTCTTCTTGAAAACTTTTCAATATTGTACAGTTTGTGAACTAACGAAGCAGATACGTGAGCACGCCATCGCAGAAAACCTTGCCAAGAAGCTGAAACAGCCAGAAAGCCAACAAAACACAACTAATTCTGCATCATCTAGTTCTACAGCCGCTTCATCGGTAAATTTGTATTCATTATAATTTCAAAAATTACTTTGATTACTTTAGTTGATGTTCTTTTTAATTTTAATGTGTATTTTTTTTTTTAGCTCTCAGCCTAATAAGACAAACATTGCCTGAACCACTGGTTTAAATTTTTGCATAAATTTTGAACTGAGCTGGATTAGTCATTCTTGAATGTTTAATTACAGAAGCCATCAGAAGCAACTAGAAGTACAAGCTATACCAAACTTCCAGACGAAGGAATTCATAAGAAACTTGTTGCTAAACTTGCTGTACATAGCAGTTTCCATCCACCTACCCTATTTGGCCAACCATTTTCAAGAGCCATACATCGAAGAGCCAGATTTGGTCAACCACTTCAAACAGCAGATGTACTTAGCAGAAATGCTATTCAACAACACAAAGAGAGTTTTATACCAAGTGATGTCACATGCATTTGGGACTATGCCGGTCAACTGACCTATTATATATCTCATAGGGTGAGTAAAACATTCTACTGAAAGTTACATTTGAAAAATATTGTATGTTTTTTTTTTATTTGACATGACTAGCTGGTGAGTGGCTGATTAGTCGTATTGTGGTAAAAATGCCAGCCTTCCAGTCCCATGATACTTCGTTATAATCCTTTTAACTTAAAGCCACTCCTCCATAACCTATATGAGAATTAGTTTGAACATTACAATATTGGATATTTAAAAGAGCTGAATATCAACTGAATTTGTGGCCTTAGCTTGAAGGGTAACACTCTATCTAACTCAAATCAAACAATAAAAATAATTTGTTATGGTTGTCAGAGTACATGTATATAGGAATTCGTATATGATTTATATCTATATATAGTGACTGAATTTCTGGTTTTAGCTTGAAGGGTAACCCTCTATCTAACTCAAATCAAATAATTAAATGTATTTCTTATGGTTGTCAGAGTATGTATATAGGAGTTTGTATAAGATTTATATCTCACTTGTTAAGTGACTTAAAAGTAATAAAATCATTTTTTCAATGGTCAGTTGTAACAGTGCTGATTTTAATATATTTTAAGTTTTAAATTGTGTCTTTTCAGTTTTTCCTGACAGATGGATCATCATACTGTGTTGTGTTCAGTGTGTTAGATGATTTGGATGCTCTGGCAAACCCAAGAGATTCACTGCAAGTAAATACACCACTTTCTCTTCATTGCAGGTTTTCAATTAGCCGTAATTAGTTTTATTGCATCAATTAATCTCATACCGTTTTGAAAATTATGTGGCTATTTTTTACTTTTTCAGGGACAATTTGAAATGACAAATCTTCAAATGAATGTATTTTGGATGCGGTCTATATACGAACACGCTGTACTACTCTATCATGGAAGAACACAGTTAATCAACGGCATATCCTCACCCACGATCAGTTTAGTTGCCACACACAAAGACAAACTATTGGGAACTGAGTCAGAAAAGGACAAGCTGGTGATACATTGTCTGTTTTTTAGTAAAATTACAATATTTGATTCTTAAATTCTTCAATAAATTTACTAATATTATTGTCTGTTTTTTAGTAGTTACATTATTTTTTTCTTTAAATCTTGAAAACATTTACTAATACTTTCAATTTTGTTCACAGATCACAACCAAGTTCAAAAGAATATTTGATGAAGTCAAAGGAACACCATACGAAAGTCATGTGGATCGCGAGATGTATGTTGTAGATAACACTGTGCGTATGGATGAAGGGATTAAGAAATTGAAGAAGAATTTCGGGGGATACATGAAGGCAATGGCAAAACCTATTCCCACTAGCTGGGTTGATTTCCAGTCCAAATTACAAGATGTTGGAAAAACAAGACTCCATGTTTTCATACATATGCTTTCATATAACAGTGGAGTTGAATAGTTAAGATGCTTGCCTTCCAATCCCAGGGTCCTGGGTCCAATTCTTGTCAGTGATGCAGGATTTTATTTCACGAACAAAACAACTCCACTCCCTAAATCTCATATTGAGATTTAGTTTGTGTAAAGCATTGTGTGTGTATGTTTGTCTTGTGTAAGGGGTTGTTGCCTACAAGTAGGACAGTGATATATTCGCTATTGACAATCCTTGGCACATGTATTGTGTGCCTAAATAAATAAATAAAATAAAAAATAAATGTTTATAATTGAATAACATTTGAATAATATTTGATGAATATGATTATAATTACACAAGTACAAATCCACAAGTCCAACGCTACCCATCTCATAAATTTTTTCCTCTTGTATCCTAATCCCCCCCTCCCTCCTTTGACAGACCTTGTCGGGCAGTGAAACCATAAAAAATATAAAAATAGGTTCACCTCAAGCCAAAAAATGTCTGTCACAGTCTTGAGAGTGCTATTTCCGGTCATTCAGAAAATTTATCTTAGAGCCAACACTGATCTTGCATCCTTTGGGTCTCTATAGTAGCATTTATTTACCTTAATCAGTGTGATTCAGCAAAAGTGATATTCCGTCATCTTATAGTAACTGAGTGAAGATGAATGACAGTTTATCTTGCGTAATGAACCTTGGACTCCCTACTTTTCTCTATCAACTACTTCAAAGCTTTTTATATTAACTTATAAGGCAAGAGCCAATCAGTGTTAGAATAATAACTTTGGTTAGAAATCTAATCAACATATATAAAGCATATATTTCTTGCATTTGTATGAATGGAATTCTCTTTTCATTCAACATTTTTAAGGTCGCGAAAATTGCATCTGAATGTGGAATTTCTAAGCCAATGCTCAACACTGTCCTCGATTATCTAAATGACATTGGAATAATTCTGTACTCTAAGACTAATGAGAAGTTAAAGTATACAGTTATTACGAACTTGCGCATGATGATCGACGTTGTGACGAAAATCATCACAGTAGTGAAACCAGATGATATTGACAAGGTAAGCAATATAACAATCTCCTATAAATATTTTTTAAATTATTTTTATGATCTTTACAATTATGGTGAATTGCATGCATTTTATGTGTTCATATTTTTTTGTAGCTGCCTATACTGAAGCAGTGGTATAGGCTCGACCGTGAGGGAATTCTACAAGAACAATTGCTACATCATTTGTGGCGACATGAGATAGCGAAAGATGCCACAAATGATCTGTGATTTAATGAAAATTGATTACTTTAAGTGGTTCCTTTTAAATGAACCATTCAAATTTATAGTTTTAATTTTTCGATTTAAATCGCATTACCATTACATTGGTTAATTTTTTGTCCTCCATCTTTATATATATTTCTGCATGTGTTTGTTTACTGAATGACCTCTTGACAAAAATCATCACAGTAGTGAAACCAGATGATATTGACAAGGTAAGCAATATAACAATCTCATATAAATTTTATTTTTTATGTTGCTTGATGAGGAGTCACATGCATCCTATTGTTCATATTTTCTTGTAGTTGCCTACACTGATGCATTTATGGAATACCCTTGATAGTGAGGGAATTCTACAAGAACAGTTGTTGCTCCGTCATTTGTGGCGACACCAGATAAAGAAAGATGCCAGCAACTTTGAGGTGTTTATAGAACTGATGAAGGTGTTTGGGTTGCTGTTTGAGAAACAAAAGGTAAGCTGGTACTTATGATTTAGCACATAAACTCTTTCATACAGTATGTGTGTGCATACTACTTTTACATTATTTATTATTTTTACTGTATATTCAACTAAATTCAATTATTATGCTTCAAATGACTTCAAGGGCCAATATCTGCTAAGAATAGCATTCACAGATACACACACCAAAACAATTATGAAATATATACAGTATAAACATTAATAAATTTCCTGTGAATTTCAGTGGGGAGTGTGCATGGGTTTGCAAAAATCAACCAAATGGGGTAGGAGAGTTGCTTATAGTCCCAGATATGGTCAAAGGGAACAGCTATTTGGGTCATAGCTTCAGTGTTGTAGGGCATCCAATGTCTTTATAATCAACTTTAGCCTTGTTCACTGTGAAAAGTATTATAGTCTGGACTAATTTTACTAATAATAATAATAATAATAATAGTGTAGTTTTATATAGCGCACATATCCATCTAATGTAAGATGCTCAGGGCGCTTAATAAGTGGACTTGGAACTCGACCAATGACTTTCTTCGCCCCTAAGGGTCATTTCGTGTCTGTGCTACCCGGTAACCCGGATTTTGACGATCTGAAAAGGAATTGACTGGTCACCATTTAGGGGTGTTGCATTCCTAGAACACCTACAAAATTGACATTATATACACCTTGCATATGCAGCCATAAAAAATGTTTAGCATAATTTTATCGTATTTGATTTTTATCAGGTATTAAGTTACTGTACCTTCAACAGCAACTGAAAACTGTGTATGTTACTACAGAAGGAGTCGGCTATGAGTTACGTGTCTATTGTCATGCCTGTGAACCTACGCTGCGACCGCTGTATAAACTTGAGGAATGTTTGAAGAATAGTGTGCCATGTGGGGAAAAAAAGTAAGTCGCAACAGCTCGTATCAGACGACTTTTTTCAACAGGTTGGTTTAAGAATGTGATTTGTTTATGAAAAGGGTTTTTATATTTTATTATGGAGACACATTACTACGGTTTTTAGGGTCACTAAAATAATGATTTATTTTCTATTGAGTACAGAAAACATTTTCCGTTAGATAGCTAACATTTGAAATTTAAAATAAATAATAACAATATCTAAATAACAAAATAAGTCGAAATGCTCTGAAAATGCTACATGTTTTTTCATTAATTTTAAATAAAAGTGATGATATTACTAGTATATGTATTAGTGACAGATATTGTTGTGCAAAAGGATAACTCTTTGCTCTACCTTCTTCCACTGGCAGCAACAAAAGAATATTTAAATTATAGTTAGTCCTATTTCAGTGAACACCCAACCAAAACCCTCCCTCTTGGCACTTTGCACCTACCAGACTTTTTCTGGCTTCAAATCTGATGTATTCAATTCAATTCAATCTTTAATTGCATCACAAAAGCTTAACAACAAAGACAACTCAGAGATCATGATTTAATATCACAAAATCTTTTTATTGGTGCTTTACACCCAGCAGAAACATTCCGGCTCCACATCTGATGTATTCAATTCTATTTAACATCTTATTATTGGGGGCAGAAAAGCAATGCATAGATCATAATTTAATATGTAACCAAATACTAGATGAGGGGTTACATAATATAAAGATATGTATGTATATGTATGATATATTTACGTGAATATGACATTAATTCTTAATTTTAAAAGCCCAATATTTTATGGTTTTGTTGTGCAGGTTTTGATGATAGTTGTACACAAGAAACCCTGAATTTTCTGGCACTTCACACATTGATTGTTGGTCGTGGAATTAAAGAACTACGGAGGTATTTTCTAGATAAAGCTAACCTCACCAAATCAGAAGTCAAACCATTTTTGACAAGGGAGAGCCATGGATTATTAATGGATGTTGATTTTGGAGATGATTAAACAACAATATTGATGAATTTCATATGGACATAATGATGAAGTTAATTCGCTTCTGTTGTCACAATACCAACACGGAAGACTTCTGGGAGAACCCTCCGTTTGATGACAATTCTGAGCTGGCAAATGTTGATTGTTGCTGCTGATTTTGCTGATGCTCATCGTGAAATTCAATACCATCAAAATGAAAGTTGTGTATTAAAGTGCATAATTGTAATTATGACAAATTGAAATTTAATAAACTTGCTCTTCCAAATTATTTAATTTTCCATTTCATTATTGACCAGAAATAGGTATTTGGCACACTGTCATTGAAGAAATCAAGAATTTCCAGGCTGTGTTATCAGCTGTCGTTGATGTTGGAACTGCAACCATGAGAAATTACATATTGGAGGTTAACAAGATTAACAAGAACGATGAAGGAAATTATCTACTGTCCGAGAAGAGTAAAGGTAGCTTTAAAAATGTATGGAAAAGTATCAGTAAAGTGCAGAAGTCGAAAATGTTCACACCGTCGGCTGACATTGATACATTTGATATCTCCATCATGTATTTAATCATTCGTAACTGCTGCGTTACAATTCCAGAGTCATTTTGGAAAAACCCAGATAGACTGCCTAACTTGGTGCACATCCACGACTATAGGAACGCAAAGCTGGCACATTCCCCCGACAGTAGAATGTCAACTAAAGAATTTGAAATTGAATGGAAGAAAGTGAGATCAATGTTGCATGCTGCAGGTGCTTCTTTAACTGACATTGACAAATATAAAGCACTAAGATTCATCAACTAAATGCATAATTATACTTTGTATTTAAATTTCTGCTGTAAAATATGAACGCAGTATGTTCATTATATTTCTGTTCACTTACCACGAGATATAAATATTTTAGCACTGAGCAAAATTTCTGATTTTTACATTTTCTGGTTTAAGCGCACTTAATTTTGGTGATCAGGGATAGCCTGTCATGAGTCTTGAATAAGGCATCCATTGTACAATCACAAATAATAATTGGTGCTTGGATAGCAACTGTAGAATGTAGTCTGCTATGACATGATTTATTTTATCAAATATATACGTAGTATTGTCTTAATCTATGGTCAGCAACCTTGAACCAAAATAAATTTCCATACCTTCCCACAACCAAGGGCTCTAGTTACCCCACACTTTTAGGAAAAAACCAAATATTCAACAAGCAAAATAATAATCACTGTATATCAAAATAATGTCTCGTAGCAACAGTTTGTTGTGGGGATTATGATTGTCTATACTTTTGATAAACTCTGGTTCTTCTGCCAAAAATTTGCTGAGATTTTTCGAAGACATCAAATTCTCCACAAGACAATATGAAATCATTAAATTAATAATACTACTAGACTTGCCCAGGAAATAAATGTTTGAGCACGTGATGCAAATGACGTTTTATAATATAAGTTTTGGTTTGATGTTTTCACAGGAATCTTGGTTTGTCAGTGTTAATTGCAACCCTCATCAAATCCGTTTTTGTAGATTCATCCTACGATCCCCAAACTTGGATCGTGATCCATGGGTTACTGACCCAAGGATCACGACCCAAGTTTAAATTACTTAAAACTTTTAATAATAATATATTTATTAACTTTTGTATCTTAATATGTACCATTGTATCAGCAGCTCTTGCTAAAGCTGCTTAATATTTTATAGGGATAAATCATTGTAAAATATTAATGAAAATGTAGGTTTTTGAACAATCAAAGCTTAACATGCACAGAGAGATCAAAAACAAAATGAAATTTAAGAATTATTCAATTCGTGTGTATTTAAAGTTCTGCGTATTCACATTATAGACGGGCTACGCCAGGAATTCCCTGACGAGGGGTCGAAGCTCCCTCATCAGGGAACCGCAACCCTGATCGAGGAAAAAGTTATTGTCACAGAATTTTTTAATTCAAAATAAATACATTTTGTTTTAATCGTGGGATTCTTTACACTGTCAGAAGTATGAGCCCACTGTCGGGGAAGAGCTGGCGCCACCACAGCAATCCATACAATCGCAATAGTATACAATACCTTGAACATACGGTAGCACTGTTTACACTAAACAGTTCTGAATCCCTAAAAGTTGTCAGCTTAGTAAGGCATGCTTGAGATTTTGGTGCTTGAGATTTTGTCTTTGTCCAATGACATTGCTGGAAATTTTCCCGACAGGGGGGTCCAAGCAGAGAAGCAACGGTCCCCAACGATGGTTCTTTCTCCCCTTGAACCACCCATTAGCACCGCCCCTGATTAGTGATAGGATGGAGTTTAAGTAGTTTTCAAGGAGAATTTAGATATTTTCCAAGGAATTTAGACTCTTTAAATTATGTTTACCGTCACCAACCGCAGTATTTAAGAAGCGATTGAAGAATCAAAAATTGACATTTACTTAGAGAGATTTAAAAAAATTGAACTTTAGACATTTTTTAAATCATGGTTGTTTCAAAGTTGTGTGTATTCACATTATAGTTTTAGTAGTTTTTCAATAAGAATTTAGATGTTCACAGAGAAACCCTTTAAATTATGTATACTTTCACCAAACACAGAACTTAAGTAGCAATTGATATGATAGAGGTGCATTTTTGTGTAATACACTGACACAAGACTTTTGATGAATGTAAGAACATTTGTAATTGGTAGGGCCTACTGATAGTCTTTTTGAAATGATGTTGTATGCTCTTTTGTCATTTGTACATTTTATCAAAATATTTTGTAAAAAACACCATTTGGTTGTAAAGTGTGTCATGCTGAAATATAAAGTTATTGTAATGTAAACTTTATTGGTTATATACACATGCCATGTAATTTTATAATACAACTGAATTTTTACATTTAAAGATCACAGTATGCAAAAAAAAAGAAAAGACTACCTAAAAAATTCAAACGAATATTAGAAGGATCAAATCAAAATTTCAAAATTTCAAATTTTTAGCATGAAAGACAGTGTATCTTTAATGTATACAATTCTTTTCTATCTACAAAGCTTATTTTATAGACAAGTGAAATTGTGAATGTATTTACAATGTAAACTTATCAAATGGATGTGAAATTTTTGGAAGTCACTTATTTTGTGTTCTTTAACTAAAAACTTGTCCATAAAAAAAAGATATTGCCATGTAAAAAAAACTTTCCAGCTTATCTTAGGAGGCTAGCTAATATTCAGGGCCCTCTTAAATATTTATAATGTAATGATTATAAATGTCATTTGTGGGGCTTAGTATGACGTGCTGTTTGAAGTATATATATGGGTTACACCAGTTTGTTATGTACATATATTTTTTTTAATGTTTTTTGTAACTTTTTTTTCAATTTTAAATTTTTTTATGTTTTACATGGTATACAAGCAATGTACAGTAATTTTCTTTGGATAAATAAATTACTTTGTTTTTGAAGATATTTTGTCATGAGAAAAATTCCTGTTATAAATATCTTAGACCTAGAGATTTGAAGGCAGGCATCTTAATCACCAAGTTACATCAAGTCATATCAGAAAGACTTTCTTGAATACAACAAAAAAATTACTTGAATTCATAACATCATTTGTTCTTAATATAACAGCAAATTGTATATGCCTACTAGTATTAGACCTACAGTATGTCAATATA